CCTTCAGGGGCCACTGTGCTATTTTGGCAGACTCGTGTGTCGCAGATTGTCCTCTGTTAATGATGTAGTGTGCTTCTTGTGAAGGTACCATCATCAGTCCCTTCTTATCTCATGGCACCAAACACATCTCCTTGGGTTGAGTTAGGGCCTCTTCTGTCCCCTCATTCCTGAGCTGTATGTGTGTTTTTCTTTTTTAAAGATTTATTTATTTTATGTATATATGTGTTCTATCTGTGTTAACATCTGCCAGAAGAGGGAATCAGTTCATATTATAGATGGGTGTGAGCCACCATGTGGTCACCGGGAATTGAACTCATGACCTTTGGAAGAGCAGACAGTGCTCTTAACCACTGAGCCATCTCTCCAGCCCAACTGTGTGTGTTTTATTGAAAGTTGAAAGTACTGCTCTTGTAGACAGCTTGGAAGTGGGTCTCTTGCCTCATGGCTGGGATTCCTAGTAATGGAATCTTTTTTTTTTTTTTTTTTTTTTTGAGGCAGGCCCTCACTGTGTAGCTTTGGCTGTCCTGGGACTTGCTCTGTAGACCAGGCTGGCCTCAAACTCAAGAGATTGACCTGCCTCTGCCTCCTAAGTGGTGTGTGCCAACATGCTTGGCATCTAGTAATAAAATATTATTTATTTTACTTTCTTTTCTACTGTCTTTTTAATGGCTGTTTTAGAGCAGCTTCAAATAAAACATAACACTGGAAGTTTCCCATGTAATCGCCTCTCTCACTCCCCAGCTGCACGTCCCCTGTTTTGTCTTTATTAGTGTAACACACTTATGACTGGCAGGCCAATATCAGTGCACCCTGACCAACTCAAGCTCAGAGTTTAATTAAGCTCACCCCCAGTGTTGTAGACTATGGATTTGGCAGGCGCCTAACAACATGTGCTGTTCATTAGTCCTCAGTAGACATCCATGTGCCACCTGTTCATCTACCTCGCCTTCTCCTGGAACCTCGTCTCCTTGGTTTTGCCTTTGCCAGAATGCCACGTGGTTGGCAGGATGGCTTTTTCCAACTGGCTTTGTTCATCCTGTTACTTTGTCTCTGATCTAGGCTGCCTGTCTTCTAACAGTGGTGGTTCTGTTCTGACCCCTCTGTGCTATCTTACTGGACCCTGCCTACAGTGTGGTCGTGCCATTCTACTCTCTGCTTGTCCCATGTCTGAAAACAAGCCTGGGCATGTTTCTGCAGTGGCTTACAGAGGAGGCTGCTGCCCTGCCCTGTTGTCCCCTGCAGGGCCCCTCAGTGTTAGACCCTGTCCTGTGATAAACAAGCTGGGGACAGGGAGGTTGGGAATGCACTTGGCTTGGGTTCTATGGTAGGTTCCATTAGATGCAATTACTCACCCTGTACCCAGCGCCCTTGTGAGGGGTCATGCTGTTTCCCTTTTATAGGTGAAACACAGGAGGAAGTTAAGCTAGCAGATGGGAAAACGAGGAGTTAGGCAAGGCGCCATGTGTTTTCAGCGGCTGTTCTGTGCTGACTGCACTCCGAGAGGCTTGCCACAGGCCCGTCCTTGTCCTTGTCCTTCCTGCCTCTTCTCAGAGACTGTAATGGAGACATTGAGGGTATCGCTTTAACCAGTGCTTCTAAGCTTGGAGGGACAGCTAATGTGATGGATGACATAATCACGATTCAGAATGAGTTCAGCTGCCTGGAATACCAGCCCAGAACCAATCAACTGAGCACGCTAATAGGAATAAATGTAAAATCCTGCATTCAAGTTCAAAAACCCAGTCAGTACAGGTCAGTGGGAAGCAGTTCGGACAGTTTGGGTTGACTGCGTCCTCTGTGGGAAGCTCTGTCATCATTTTGCCTCTATTATGGCTGTTGTCTTGTAGCTGATAGCCCTCACGCTCTTTGGGCCCGCTCTGTTATTTCTACACTGCACAATCAGGAATCTTTTAAAAATTCAAGTCTTGTAGCCATGACAGTGGGCAGCTGCCCCTTCTCCTGGCTGATGTCATCAGGCAGCTGTGCCTCTTTCTTACCATCTGCTTGTAGCTCCCTCAGAATGGCCTTCTCCCACCCATTGCTTTGCCCTCACTTTCCCTTTCCTGAATATTCTGTGCTCTCTAGGGACCCTGGAGCCGCTCTGTGCTGTGCTTTCTACTTCTAGCTATACTCAGAACTCATTTCATGCAGCGTAGGTCTCATACCCTCACAGTGGTGTTCCAGCCAGGCCTTGTGTTATACTCCAGCGACAGCACCCACCTTGCTCCCACACTGCTTCTCATCTACATGTTTTGTTCCCAGATTGGCTTAGCAGGTACTTTATAAGTGTGGTCTTTCCATGTCAGCTCTTTGAGTAGGACTGTTGAGGGAATGGGTCTGTTTCTCTTTGTTAGTGTAGGCTGGCAGTCATCAGGACATCCAACAGGTTGTCCCTTCTCTGTGCCATCTCATACAGCACCAGCTCTGCAGCCCTCAGCATCTTGGAACACTTTATGTAGACTTTATAGCTGCTACCAGATCTCTATGGAACCTGGACTCGGCAGAGTTTAAGCCATAGAGCCAACCTAGACATAGACATAGGACCATCCCCAGGTGGACCTCCCTGACCTCCATTAAGGTGGGCTTATCATAAATTCTTCCATGACAGTGAGTGACACCATGCAAACATGCACCCACAGGGAACATTAACCTCCTGCTAGTCTCTCAGGAGAAATGAAGTCCCACAGCTTATCCTAGGCAAGCTTAGGTCCAAAGATGATAACTTTTTGAAGAACTGAAGGCTAGAACCAAATTCTCTTGTGCTATGTTAGAACCCAGTTAGTCCTGATTCTGACTTCTGCTCCCTTTAAGCCAGCTGAATGCTTATCTCTGTGGGATGAGTGTGTCTCCTCAGGGCCTGAAGCTCCAAGCAGGAGACTGAGCCTGATAGCCATTCCTTCTGAGAGCTGACGACTTCTTCTCCTTCTCCCTTTTCTTCTTCTCTGTTTCCTCTTCCTTCTTCTCTTCCTCCTCCTCTTCCTTCTCCTCTTTCTTCTTTTCCTTTTCCTCTTTCTCCTCCCTCTTCTAATCCTCCTTCTCCTCCTCTTTCTTTCCTCCTCCCCCTGTTCTTCCTGCTCCTGCTTCTCCTCCTCCTCTTCCTTCTCCTCCTTATTTTTTTTTTCTGCGACAGGATTTCTCTGTATAGCCATGGCTGTCCTAGACTTGATTTGTAGACCAGGCTGGTCTCAGACTTATAGAGATCCATCTGACTCTGTCTCTGCCTCCCTGAGTGCTGGGATTACAGGTGTGTGCCACGGCACCCGCCTGAGAACTGACTTCTATGATAGTGCATAAGCCAGTCAAGAGATTTGGCTTTCCAAATCTGGGTAGGAAGTCTCATTCCAACTCCTGGGCAGTTTCCACCATGTTCCCAGATCCTCTCTTTGCTGCTGCTTTAGGTCTCTGGAAGGCCTGGCTTGGTCTAAGCGAGGTTGGTAGGCACAGCTCTTCTTGGCCATACCCTTGCATTGGAGTTAGCTGTAAGTCTAGAGCGCCTCACTGCAGTTCTGTCTCAGAGAGATGCCCTGGCATGGTCTGCCTTTTTTTTTTTTTTTTTCCTTTAATAGCTTGCAGGTTTTGTTGGTCAGTGGCTGCTTGGCATTGAAGACTTCTGCTAGCCAGCCTATGTCTTTAATGTTCCTCTGTCTTCCTGGAAGGTTCTCCTTCAGGATCAGGTGCTGAGGTACCATGAGTGCTATTGTCATGTCCTGAAGGGGATTAAGGGCTGATGCTTCTGACCCTGCTCTGTTGCCTGCTGACTGTATGATACTCGCTGTCTTTGGGTGCAGGTTTCCTGGGTACCTCACCATTTTCTGAAGCTACAGAACCTGCTCCCTGTGGGCTGAGAGGGAATGGGCATTCTTCCCTGCCCTCTTGCTAGTGCTCTATTCTTCTCCTGAGGGCTCTCTTTGGTTTGAGTGCTGCTATTTGTCATGCCCACATTGCGTCTGAAAGCCTTTCCCTGTACTGCCGGCTTCTGTTCTGTTCTGAGGCTTCAGAACAAACAGTCCACGGAGGCAGGGTGCTCATTCTCATCTCATAGATGATGAGATCCAAGCCCAGAGAGACCACCTACTTGCGGATGTTACTTGGCTCCTAAATATTAGCTAAGCTTTTATTCCAGGACCTTCTCACTTAAAGCTCCCTCCATGAAGCTGTGTCACCCCATCCATATGAGCCTTATCCTAGCTCACCCACATGACTGAGAACATCACATTTCACTTCTCATGCAGTGACTGCATTGTTAGCACTTGGATTGTTGCACTGTCAGCACACTTGCCATTTCTCATTGACTCCCTGGTGGGTCAGGTGCTTCCTGTCCAGGTGCCCAGCGAGGTGGTCATTCCAGCAGATGGTTCTGCTCAATGAGCCAGACACTTGGGTGCTGGTTTGTTCAATTTAAATGTAAATAACCAACATTAGCAGATAGAAATGCTCCATGAAGCGTTCCAGAGAACCGTGCGTATCCTCTGACATCGATGGGAGTGAGACTGGATGGTGCTATGCTGTTGGTGTTAGGCAGAGTGCTGCCCTGTACCTGTTTCCCACGAGGCAACCTAGCAATGTGTATTTGGTTTGTTTATAAAATCATTTTGTATTGTAAACTTTTTCCTCATTGGAGTATCTGGGTTATTGGAGGGGGTTAGCGCTCACGTGTGAGATGTCATTATATATGTTCACCCACATGTGAGTATGTATGCAGTGGTGTGTGTAGGCCTGGAGTTGATGTCAGTTGTCATCCTCAATCACACTTCACTTTGTTTTTGGAGGTGTAGTCTCTTGGTTGACCTCAGAGCTCATCATTGTGGCCAGCCTAGCTAGCTAGCTAGCCTGGTCTGGGGATGCCCTGTCTCCCACTCCCAAGTGCTGGGATTACAGGTGGCCTCCACAGCTGTTTGGATTTTATGTGGATTCTGGGTCTTTGAATTTAAGGTCTCAAAGTCTCCCCAGCGCCATGTTTTATTTTATGTGCATTTAGTATACTCTTTTCCCCCCGTTAGGACAACTACACCTTTGCCCAGCCTGGGATTCAAATGAAAGTGAAGATGCTGGAAGAACTTGTGAGCCGGATCGATGGTAAGTCAGTGTCCAGAGCGCCCTTCTCCGAGGCAGGGAGAGTGCTGGAAAGAGGTTAGGGTGGTGGCCTTGGTCCTTAGCCCTACCAGACACCACCATTGTTGTTCTCATTTGGCTGGTGGTACCTGGGCCTGCTAGTGCTCACCCAAGTGCCTCATTAACAGGAGAAGATGCTATTCTGCTCTTCCATTCTGTGTGCCAGTCAGGACTCGGTGGGGAAGGAGACAACCGTGCTTCTGGCAGCCAGCCTCCCTGCTGGGTCACCTGGAGTCTCATCTGGGCAGCAGGCTGGTTGCTGATGGCTGTCCTTTGCCTTGCCTCCTTTGTCTGTGTGTATCATTTGCTATCAAGGAAGATAGAATAATTTCTCCATGGAATCCAATTAATTACCAAGTCCAGAAAGAACATCTTCAATATTATAGAAAAATTATAGTGTGTGCTCAGGCAATTTTAGATTATGCTTTCATGTTTTAAGTGAGGCCTTTGAAGTACTTTTTACCTTCGTCCTTAAAATAATTCCCCCTGCGATGCACTGAATGTCATATTGCAATAGCAGAGTTTAATTAAATGAAAGTTGAGAGATAATGCTTGCCCATTCCAGGCAGAGCCTCTTGATAGTTTGTTAAATTAATGAGCAGAGCATTAACAAAGTGACGCCAAGCAGAACCAGACCTATGTCTATATGTGACACCAGCCAGTCAGCAGTGAGCTGTGGAAGACACTCTCTGCTTCCTGGAGTCCCGGGTGAGTCAGACAAGTCACTTCGCCAAAGGTGCAGAGAACTCTGTTGAGATGTAGTCTTGGCTGTGCACCTTCTGTGTGTGCAGCCTCCTCCCCAGCCTTCCCCTGGATGCTCCCATGGCAAGAGAAAATTGTCACAGCCCTCTTCATAGGAAGACACTTGGCTTGGGAAATGACTGAGTGACATTATAAACCAAAGCCAAAAAACTCGAAACTGCACTGCGTTTCTTGATTGAGTCTGGGAGTCGGCTCTGTGTCTGATGGTTATTACCTCATTTCCATATTATGAAGTCTTGCGCACTTCTAGGGATGCTTTATTGGATCCGGTGTGTTTAGCTGCTTTTCAGCCTCTCTCTGAAGTGCTGCTCTTTCTTCCATCAGTATACCCTGTGCATTTATTCTGCACTCATGTTGCGTTCTTGCTTGGCTCTGTTCAAGTTTTTTTCTACTAGCGCTTTCACGAGTGTCCCCGGCCTCATTTAGTTCTTTGAAATACTATTTGCAGGAGCTATGAGTTACACAGTTCTAGCAGGTTCTTCTTTTCCTCCTGTGCCCCTTAGAAGGCTTATTTTATATTTTCCACGAGCCTTAAGTTGTGGCCGGGGCTGGTTTGCTCCAGCGCTGCAGTTGGGGAAATGCCTAAATTGATTTTCTCTGTTGCTGTGGTTCAGAAGGCAGCACACTGCAGATTTTCACTGTGATTGTTCAGAAGGGCAGCAGCGACCACTGCAAAGCTGCCATGTCTGTGCTCTGGCTAAAATGCCTCTTTATTTCTATACAGGGACCATCAAGGACTAGCTCCTCAGAGCACAGGATGAGCTCCAGTGTCTCAGGGCAGGCTGTGCAACCTGTTTGTTTCTGTTCTCATGACAAAAGCTCTGAAAACGTGTATAACTGCTTCATCGTAAGGATACTGGACGATGCAAGCAGGAAATGTCCAATCCTGAGGCCTCCAGTCCTGGCTGGGAGCCTCCTCCTCACCCTGCCCCCACTGGTATTTGGAGAGGCTCCAGAGCTGCAGCTCCAGTAGTCTCGCCTATGTAGGACTCACTGTTAACCTTCCATTAATGGCAGGATATACTATGTAGAAAAAAAAAATTACTTAAAAAGGCCTAACCTGTTGCCTGATTTCTGTAGTTCTAGGGAAGATCTGTGTTTATTTCAGAAAGCATTGATGCCTTAGTGAGGGGGAAGTAGCCATGGACCTGCAGAACACGGCGGTGGCAGCCGGTGGGTGTGTGTGTGTTACGCCTTGTTTCAGCTGGGTGGTGTAAAAAGGATAATTGCAGAGCAGAGATGGGGAACCTGATAGTGGTCGGCGTGTGAGGCCATGGGCACAGAGGACATGAGAGATAGAGAATATGAGAAGGGATGAAGAGAGACACTGAAGGGTGGTGAATGTTGAAGGTGGGTGCTTCACCTTTTTCTTGTCATAAGGAGTAGTTAAGAATTTTTCAGAGACGCTTTAAAGCAATTTCCCATTTTGAGCAATACCTCTCGAGTACTGCTGAACCTCTAACGAAGGTACTCTGTGAGTATGAAGGTGCATGTCTGTCATGGAAGGAAGCAGCCAGCAGCCTTTGAGGTGGCACTTGAGGGAGAAACAGAGACCAACCCTGGAGTGGGCAGATGGCCGATGAGACATCCATGGAAGCCCTGTGGGATGGCAGCTTGAGCAGTTGGAGTTGGGACTTCAGGGAAGTAGGAGAGGGGAGGGGCTTTCACTGCAGCAGGTACCCACTGAAGACAATTCAAAAGGCAGATGGGGTTTTTCTAAAGCCAGAAAAGTGAGAAAGGAATGAAAAGGAACAGAAAAGAAGGAAAGGAAAACCAGTGTCTTTCGAGAGGAGGGATTGACGCTGTTAAGGGTCCAAGGGTTACTGGTTCTTCATGTCAGGCCCTAGTGAGGTCACCTGGCATCAGTGCCACTAGAATCTGGTTGACATGCTTACTTCCAGAACATGCTGTCCCAGGGAATTGTTACTTTGGCAGCCTTGTGGGGTGTTAGGTGAACTCTGGCCTATCAGAATAGGGGTCATGGGACATGCTGCCTGCTTCCTGAGAGCCAGAAGAGTGACACACCATGTTCTTGTTTGTTGGAGGGTGGGGAGGGTACGTAGCCCTCACATCAGCCTAGCTTCTGGTACTGTTGGGACCTGTGGTTTTGAAGATTCTTTGCAGTATTCTCCACAAGGCTTATGACATAGAAAACAAAATCTTTTAACTTCGAGAACATAAATTCTCACTGTATTTTGTTTTCAAATGAAGTGGCCTGAACACAGTCAGAGATGATCCATACACAAGGCTCCAGCAGTGAGAGTAAGTAGATAAAAGAGCCAGGTCCATTAAGTGGGGAGCTTTGCTGATCTGTAGCACACAGAGTAAAACTACTATTCTTATTGTGAGCGAAGGAAAATGAATCATAAATATGCCTTTAGAGAACAGAAGACTATTCCAGTTTTTCAGAAGTTTGAAAAATGACCAATTGTGCAAGCCTGGTGACCTGAGTATGATCTCTGGAATCCAAAGTGGAAGAAGAGAACTAGGTCCACGGAGGTGTTCTTTGACTGCCACATACATGCCATGTCAAGTACCCCCCACCACACACACACACACACACACACACACACACACACACACACACACAC